GTTTGGGCAGGGAATTCCTGGGAAAAAAGGGGAAAAGAGGGAAAAATTCCAGGAATTTTGGGGTTTCGAGCAGAGAATTCCTGGGAAAAGAGGGAAAAATGGGGGGGGAAGGTCCCAAAATTTTGGGATTTGGAGAGGGAATTCCTGGGAAAAAGGGGAAAAATCAGGGAAAATCCCAGGAATTTTGGGGTTTCGAGCAGAGAATTCCTGGGAAAAAGAGGGAAAACGGGAAAAAGTTCCCAAAATTTTGGGGATTTGGGGATTTGGGGAGAGAATTCCTGGGAAAAAATGGGGGAAAGAGGGAAAATATTCCGGAAATTTGGGGGATTTGGGGCGGGAATTCCTGGGAAAAGAGGGAAAAACCGGGAAAAACGGGGGGAAATTCCCAAAATTTGGGGATTTGGGGGCGAGAATTCCTGGAAAAAAGGGGGAATATTCCCGAGATTTTGGGATTTGGGGGAATTCCCGGCTCCTGGAACCCCCAAATCCCGGGAATTTTTTTTCCCTTTGGAAAATTCCCCGGCTGGAGCTGGGAAGGAGCTCCGAGAATTCCAAAGGTTTTTGGGTTTTTTTCCCAAGTTTTTTTGACCTCCGGCCCCGGCAAATCCCGGGATGGGCTCCGGCCAAAGGTCGGGATTGATCCCAAAAATTCCTTGGGATTATCCGGAGGCCACGGGAGGGGGGAGGGGCGGCGCCGAATTCCCGGGAATTTGGGATTTCTGAGAGGATCCCCAAAGGAATTCCCGGATTTCCGGAGCATTCCCGAATTCGGCTGGAATTCCCAAATTCCCGGAGCGTTCCCAGCTCAGGAATTCCCAGATTTCCAGAGGAATTCCCAGATTCCCGAAGAATTCCCAGTAAATCCCCAGGAATTCCCAATAATTCCCAAAGAATTCCCAAATAATTCTCAGTAAATCCCAAAGAATTCCCAAAAAATTCCTCCAATAATTCCCCAAAGAATTCCCAAAAAATTCCTCCAAGAATTCCCAAAGATTTCCCCCAAAATTCCCAAAATATTCCCAAAAAATTCCCAAAGATTTCCTGGAGAATTCCCAAAGAATTCCCAAAAAATTCCTCCAAGAATTCCCAAAGAATTCCCAAAAAATTCCCAAAGATTTCCCCCAAAATTCCCAAAATATTCCCGAAGAATTCCCAAAGAATTCCCCAAAAATTCCCAAAATATTCCCAAAAAATTCCCAAAGATTTCCCGAAAAATTCCCAAAGAATTCCCAAAAAATTCCCAAAATATTCCCAAAAAATTCCCAAAGATTTCCTGAAGAACTCCCAAATAATTCCCAAAGAATTCCCAGAGAATTCCCAAAGATTTCCTCGATAATTCCCCAAATTTATTCCACAAAAATTGGGAATAAAACCCCCAAAAAACGCCGGGAATTTGGGAATGGCCCCGGAAATTCGGGAACAGAGCGGGACTGGGGAATTCTGGGGGAATTTTTGGTGGGAATTCCCTGGAAATTCTTTGGAATTTCTTTGGGAATTCTGTGGGAATTTCTAAGGAATTATTGGGAATTTTTTGGGAATTTTTTGGGAATTCTGTGGGAATTATTGGGGAAATATTTGGGAATTGTTTGGGAATTTTTGCAGAATTCTTTGGAATTTTTGGGAATTCTTTGGAATTTCTTTGGGAATTTTTTGGGAATTCTGTGGGAATTCTGTGGGAATTCTTGGGAATTCTTGGGAATTATTTAGGAATTATTTGGGAATTTTTGGGGAATTCTTTGGGAATTCTTTGGGATTTTTTTGGGAATTTTTTGGGGAATTCTTGGGGAAATATTTGGGAATTATTTAGGAATTTTTGGGGAATTCTTTGGGAATTCTTGGGAATTCTTTGGGAATTATTTGGGAATTCTTGGGAATTCTTTGGGAATTCTGTGGGAATTCTTGGGAATTTTTTGGGAAATATTTGGGAATTATTTCGGAATTTTTGGAGAATTCTTTGCATTTTTGGGGGGAATTCTGTGGGAATTCTTGGGAATTCTTGGGAATTATTTAGGAATTATTTGGGAATTTTTGGGGAATTCTTTGGGAATTTTTTTTGGATTTCTTGGGGAAATATTTGGGAATTTTTTGGAATTTTTTGGGAATTCTTTGGAATTTTGGGGGGAATTTTTTGGGAATTATTTGGGAATAAATTTGGGAATTCTGTGGGAATTCTTGGGGAAATATTTGGGAATTTTTTGGGAATTTTTGGGGAATTATTTGGGAATTCTGTGGGAATTCTTTGGGAATTACTGGGAGTTCCTTGGGAATTCTTTGGTGAATTCCTTGGGAATTTCCAAGGAATTATTGGGAATTCTTGGGGAATTTCTGGGAATTCCTCAGGAAATCTTTGGGAAATTCTTTGGGAATTCTTTGGGGAATTCTTGGGAATTCTTGGGGGATTCTTTGGGATTTTTTTGGGAATTCTTCAGGAAATCCTTGGGATTTTTTGGGGAATATTTTGGGAATCCTTGGGGAATTTTTTGGGAATTCTTTGGGAGATTCCTTGGCATTTACTGGGAATTCTTTGGGGAATTCTTGGGGAAATATTTGGGAATTCTTTGGGCAATTCTTTGGGGAATTCTTGGGGGATTCTTTGGGAATTCTGTGGGAATTCTTCAGGAAATCTTTGGGAATTTTTGGGGAATTCTTTGGGATTTACTGAGAATTAATTGGGAATTCTGTGGGAATTCCCTGGAAATTTTTTGGGAATTCTTGGGGAATTCTTGGGGGATTCTTTGGGAATTATTCTTTGGGAATTCTGGGAATTCTCTGGGCCCGGGGTGGGGGAGGGGCGTCTTCCCAAGGATTTCAGGGAATTGCCGGGAAAAGAAAATTCGCCGCCAGTTCATGAATATTAATGAGATATTTATTAATATTAACGAGCGATTAATGAATATTGATTAGCAATCAGAAAATAAATCGGGGTTTAATTATTAATTATTGATTATTCCATGAAAACTTTTGGGATTCTCCCGGGAAAAGCCGGGAATGGGCTCAGGGAGCCGAGCCGAGCCCAAATCCAGCAGAAAATTCCCAGAAAATCCTTTCCCAGAAAAAAAAATTCCCGGAATTTTTCCGGGGTTTCCAGGTGGGCAATGGAAATTCCAAAGGGGAAAAAAAATTCCAAAGGGAAAAAAATTCCAAAGGGAAAAAAAATTCCAAAGGGAAAAAAATTCCAAAGGGAAAAAAAATTCCAAAGGGAAAAAAAATTCCAAAGGGGGAAATTCCAAAGGGAAAAAAAATTCCAAAGGGAATCCCAAAGGGGGAAAATTCCAAAGGGGGAAAATTCCAAAGGGGAAAATTCCAAAGGGAAAATTTCAAAGGGGGAAAATTCCAAAGGGGGAAAAAAATTCCAGAGGGAAAAGAATTCCAAAGGAAAAAATTCCAAAGGAAAAATTCCAAAGGGAAAAAATTCCAAAGGAAATCCCAAAGGGGGAAAATTCCAAAGGGGAAAATTCCAAAGGGGAAAATTCCAAAGGGGAAAATTCCAAAGGGGAAAATTCCAGAGGGGGAAAAATTCCAAAGGGGAAAATTCCAAAGGGGAAAATTCCAAAGGGGAAAATTCCCGCTCAAAGCTTGGAATTCCCGGGAAAAGGAGGATCCGGGGGGAGCTGCTCCAGCCATTCCAGAAGGATCCGGTTCACCTCGGCCGGCCTGCGGAGAGAGAGGCGGAATTCCGGGAATTCCTGGGAATGGGGAGCCAGGATTCCTGGGAATTCTCGGGAATGGGGAGCCGGAATTCCCAGGAATTCCTGGGAATGGGGGGAGATCCCGATTTTTAGGGGGGGATGTGAGAGCTGGAATTCCCAGGGATGTGGGATCCAGAATTCCTGGGAATGGGGAGCTGGAATTCCTGGGAATACGGAACCCAGAATTCCCGGGAATTTGGGATCTGGAGTTCCCGGGAATGGGGGAACCCGGAATTCCCAGGAATCCTGAACCTGGAATTCCCGGGAATTCGGAACCCGGAATTCCCGGGAAATGCGGAACCCGGAATTCCCAGGAATACGGAATTCCGGGGAATTTGGGATCGGGAATTCCTGGGAATGTGAGAACCCGGAATTCCCAGGAAATTGGGATCGGGAATTCCTGGGAATGTGAGAACTGGAATTCTCGGGAATGGGGAGCCGGAATTCCCGGGAATTCCTGGGAATGGGGAATTCCCACCTCTCCAGCTGGGTCCAGTGGCCGCAGTCCTGGATGTGCTTCCGCTGCAGCCGCGGCACCTGCAATGCATCGGGAATCCCGGGAATCCATCCGGAATCCATCGGGAATCCCGGGAATCCATCGGGAATCCATCCGGAATCCATCGGGAATCCATCGGGAATCCATCCGGAATCCATCAGGAATCCCGGGAATCCATCCGGAATCCATCGGGAATCCATCGCTTCCCAGAATTCCCGGATTTTTCCCAGATTTTTTTCCCAGATTTTTTCCCCGATTTTCCCCAGATTTTTCCCAGATTATTTTCCCAGATTTTCCCAGAATTCCCAGATTTTTCCCAGATTTTTCCCAGGTTTTTTTCCCAGATTTGTTCCCAGATTTTCCCAGAATTCCCAGATTTTTCTCAGATTTTTCCCAGGTTTTTCCCAGGTTTTTTTCCCCGATTTTCCCAGGTTTTTTTCCCAGATTTGTTCCTAGATTTTCCCAGAATTCCCAGATCTTTCCCCCAAACTCCCAGATTTTCCCCAGATTTCCCCAGAATTCCCAGATTTTTTTCCCCAGATTTTCTAAGAATTCCCAGATTTGTTCCCCAATTTTCCCAGAATTCCCTTTTCTTTTTTTTCCCCCCGAAATCTCAAATTTTTCCCAGATTTTTTCCCGGATTTTTTTCCCAGATCTTCCCAGAATTCCCACATATTTTTCCCTAAAAATCCCAAATTTTTCCCAGATTTCTCCCAGATTCTCCCAGATTTTTTTTCCAGATTATTTTCCCAGATTTTTCCAGAATTCCCAGATTTTTCCCAGGTTTTTTCCTGGATTTTCACAGAATTCCCAGATTATTTTCCCAGATTTTTCCAGAATTCCCAGATTTTTCCCAGGTTTTTTCCTGGATTTTCACAGAATTCCCAGATTATTTTCCCAGATTTTTCCAGAATTCCCAGATTTTTCCCAGGTTTTTTCCTGGATTTTCACAGAATTCCCAGATTATTTTCCCAGATTTTTCCCAGATTTTTTTCCCCGATTTTCCCCAGATTTTTCCCAGATTATTTTCCCAGGTTTTCCCAGAATTCCCAGATTTTTCCCAGGTTTTTTCCCAGATTTTCCCAGATTTTTTTTTCCCAGATTTGTTCCCAGATTTTCCCAGAATTCCCAGATTTTTCCCAGATTTTTCCCAGGTTTTTTCCTGAATTTTCCCAGAATTACCAGATTTTTCCCAGATTTTCCCCAGATTTTTTCCCAGATTTTTTCCCCGATTTTTTTTCCCAGATTATTTTCCCAGATTTTCCCAGAATTCCCAGATTTTTCCCAGGTTTTCCCCAGGTTTTTCCCAGGTTTTTTTCCCCGATTTTCCCGGATTTTTTTTCCCAGATTTGTTCCCAGATTTTCCCAGAATTCCCAGATTTTTCCCAGATTTTTCCCAGGTTTTTTCCTGGATTTTCACAGAATTCCCAGATTTTTCCCAGATTTTTCCCAGATTTTTTCCCCGATTTTCCCCAGATTTTTCCCAGATTATTTTCCCAGGTTTTTTCCCAGATTTTCCCAGATTTTTTTTCCCAGATTTGTTCCCAGATTTTCCCAGAATTCCCAGATTTTTCCCAGGTTTTCCCCAGGTTTTTCCCAGGTTTTTTTCCCCAATTTTCCCGGATTTTTTTTCCCAGATTTGTTCCTAGATTTTCCCAGAATTCCCAGATTTTCCCCCAAACTCCCAGATTTCCCCCCGATTTTCTAAAAATTCCCAGATTTTTCCCACATTTTCCCAGACCTGCCAGATTTTTGCCAGATTTTTCCCAGAATTCCAGGATTTTCCCCAGAATTCCTGGATTTTCCCCAGATTTCCCCAGAATTCCCCAGATTTTTTTCCCTGGATTTTTCCCCAGACATTTCCCCCCGGAATTCCCATTTTCCCCCCCCAAATTCCCATTTTCCCCCCCAGAATTCCCATTTTCCCCCCCAGAATTCCCATTTTTGTCCCAGAATTCCCATTTCCCTCCCAGAATTCCCATTTCCCTCCCAGAATTCCCGTTTTTCCCTCAAAATTCCCATTTCCCCCCAGAATTCCCAGATTTCTCTCTCCAGAATTCCCATTTTTCCCCCCCAGAATTCCCATTTTTCCCCCAGAATTCCCATTTCCCCCCACAAATTCCCATTTTTCCCCAGAATTCCCATTTCCCTCCAGAATTCCCATTTTTCCCCCCA